ATATAAATTTATATAAAAACAAATCCCCCTTTTCTCTTTAAGCACCAAATCCCTAAACTCACGCACCCGAGCTCTGCCTCCCTTCCTTCTCCCGTTCGCGCGCCTGGCCTTTCCCTTTCTTGGTCTCGAGCCGAGCGAGCTCTTCCTCCACGCGAGAGAAAGTTGACTTCTCATTCGTCCTTGCCCGACACCTTCTGTCCGCAGCCCTCTTTCTCGAAGCCGTGCCAGTCTCCCCGAGCTGTGGTTTTCCTTTTCGTGATAGTTTGACTTTGGGAAGCTTGTTCTCTGGTACACTTGAATGACAAACTCTTTTTTCTTCCCGATACTTTCCTCGCTGCCACTGGGCTTGCCGCTCGGTCCGAGATGTTTCGGTGGCTTCGCCTTCTGTGAGCAGGGAGCGCATCCTTTTCTTCTTTGGCCCGATTCGAGTGCCGTGGACTGATGGGGTGATCTTCTTTCTCTTCTCCTCTCTTCTCTGCCTATAAACATAGTTTCTTTTGAGATTTTTGGGTGGTTAAAAAAAGTTTGCAAAAGAGGAGAGTAGAAATTTTAGCTTTGAGGAGATTGGAAAGGGGATTTCTGTGAGAGCTTTTCCTTGAGGTGAATTATGGTGTTGCAGTGCTTTACATTGACATTAAGGAGGTACCTCTTCTTTCCCCCCCCTTTGGTGCCCTGTTTCCTTTCGGTTTTCCTCTTTGCCGAGCCTTTGAACTTGGTTCGGTTGGGGTGATACAACATGCCGATTCACTTTACTTTCATACATTTTTTAGGTATTCACTTTAAGAGCATGTGAAGGATGAAATGTGAACATGTTTTAGGAATTAGACTTGGATATTGGCTTAAAGTGGTGGAGATATGGCATGTTCTTTGTTTATCCTATCATATTTATGTTGGTAGCGATTTGGATAATTGAAGCATGGTTTTGGAATAATTTCTACTTCTCTTGCAAGCATGTTGGGATGTGTATTGTTAAACTTTCCGCTTATCTTTCGTTTAGAATGAATGCTAGAGAGTTCACTTTACTTTTTATACATATGTGGGGCTCGGTTTAGCTCCTCATGAGGCATCTCCCCTGTTCAAATATCTGTTGGAATTGTTTCATGCTTGGAATATTTAGATATGCAGGTGATTCCTTGGTTTGGAGGCTTGGTTTTGGCTTGAAATGACTAGAACTTTAATTTTTATGGAAACCTGAATTTTAATATTGCTGGACTTGGCTTTTGGTTCTTGTTGAGCTCTGTTTTGGCTTTTGGTTCCTGTTGAGCTCTGTTTCGGCTTTTGGTTCTTGTTGGGCTCGGTTTTGGCTGGGTTTGGAGTCTTGGTTTTGGAATTGAAATGAATAGAGCTCTATTCTTTATGGAGGCCCCCGTTGGGCTCGGTTTTGGCGCCTGCTGCGCTCGGTTTTGGCCTCTGCTGGGCTCGATTTTGGTATCCCACCGGTGTCTTGGCTCAAATATACGTGTGGTGGATGAATTTATGTTGATTCGCAATAATTTTGTAGTTGTTCTTGTGTAAGGCATGTGTCGTTTCTATATTTTGATGTCTCAGGGGTATGGAAATGTTTTCTTTCGACTATCTTGTTGTAACTTGAATTTGAACCTTAGCTGCGGCTTGGTTTTGACTTGGTTTTGGCTTGAAATGGCTAATACTTTATTTATTTATTTTTATGGAGGCCTGGATTTTAATATTGCTGGGCTGGGTTTTGGTCCTTGTTGGGCTCGGTTTAAGACTGATTTGGGGTGTAGCTTTGTTTGTTTTGGCCCTTGCTAGGCTCGATTTTGGATTGTGGTGATTATATTTTGGCCATTTGATGGTTGCGGTTTTAGACCTTGTTGGGCTTCACCTTATCTTTGGGATGGCCCTGTTTGAGCTTGCGGTGTGGTTCGGCTTTGATCTTGCCAGATTTTAATTTGGGGTGATGTGTGCCTTGGTTTGGGAGTTCGGTTGACCCTCTTTGCCTCCCCTTTTGGTCCTTACCCGTGAGGCCTATTGGAAGTCGTTGGGTATGATTTGGTCCTTCTTGCTAAGTTTGATTGGCTTGAATTTTATTGGTGGATTAAGTTTGTTATCCCAAAAATTATATTCACTTTAGTTATTCTCTTATGTTTGCCAAGAAGGCATAATAGCTATTGATGGTTCTTTTGATTGCTATAGCCGTGGGCCTTACTTGTGCCTTGGGTTGCCTCTGGTCGTGGGATTTAGCAGCTGCTCTTTGCTGCCTTAAACCGTGAGCTTTAACAGTTCTTTTCTGGGCCCTTTGTTGCCTTAACCGTAAGCCTTACTTGTTATCTCTTGGGCTGCCTTTGGTTATGGGTCTTGGCAGCTGTCTCTTGCTTTAGCCGTGAACCTCTTTTGTCCCTGTTCCTTGCCTTGGTTGAGAGCCTTGGTGGCTGCTTCCTCCTCTTTACTGACCTTGGCCGTGAGCGTTGAGGGC